TTAATGAAATCTCTCTTCAGTTCCCCTCTACAGCATCCCAACAAGTGGCTGGCTAGTCAGCCTTGCTTGAATACCGCTAGTGTCAGGGAATCGCTTGATCTGTAAGGCAGTACATCCTGCTGCTGGAATAATTGAGAAGCCAATAAAATCCTTTATTTTCAGATTCCACATTTGTCATCTTTTAATTTCCAACTTAGTTCTGCCCCTTCAAGCCCCACAGAATGATTCTCCCCCATGCCCCAACCCCCCATTCACAGTAACACTAGAATTCCTAAACCAAAGTGGTATGTTTGTATTAAGGCTCTTCTTCTCTGGCCCAAATCATTCGCTGCCTTTACTGTTCTCACCACAATATGGTCTTAGACCAGTGGTTCTCAACCAGGGGTAAATTTGCCTCCTAGCGGGCACTTGGCACTGTCCAGAGACATTTTTGGTTGTTAGAACTAGGGGTAGTACTACTGACACCTGATGGGTAGTAGCTAGGGACACTGCTAAAAATCTACAAGGCACAGGGCAGCCCCACAACAAAGAATTATCTGGCCTGAAATTTCAAAAGTGCCAAGGTTGTGAAACTCTGCTCTAGACACATCATTACGTAGGTTACTCCCCTCTGGACGTTCTGTGGCTTATCATATAAAGTACCTTGTTCAGAACTTGGTATGTGGTACCTGCAAGGATAGGACCAATGACAGCATGTGGGCATGAGGGTATCAATAATATATCCTCCCCCCTCACTTTGACAATGGGATTCATTGTAGCAGCAAAAACATCCAACACACACCCTTCCTCCTACCCAGTCTGTGGTCAGGGAAAGGCTCCAAGTCCTATAGAAACAAATTGCTCTCCAGCCAATGATTAAGAAACAAAAACAAAGACATAAAAACATAAATGCAAATCTATAAGGAGGCAGAGTTCCCTCTGAGCATCTGCACAATGCATTAATCATAATAAATTGAATCAAATTCATTCTTGTTTTCTTACCCTAAAGACATTATTATGGATCTTTCTCTACCAAATTTTTGTCACCTGAATATATGATAAATAGACTTGTATATTTTCATCCAAGACCCTCCTAAAAATATCAGACAGGACAGATTGATGTTGATCCATTTTTTAACCCTTTTTGGGTAAAGTTGAGTTGATCAGTTATCAATCCACTTAACTGTAGCTTCCATTTATTTACCTGATCCAAGAAAACACCAGGTCCAGATGGCATTACTGCTAAGTCTTATCAAACATTTAATAAGCAGTTAATTCATATTTTATTAAAACTGCTCTAGAAAATTAGGGGAGGGGTAAGAGGCACACTTCAGCTAATTTCATACAGCTAGTATAATCCTAAAACCCAAACCTTTTAAGGACAGTACATGAAAACTATAGGAAATTCTCACTAATACACACAGATGCAATATTTCTAAAAATTTATCAAACCAAATCTAGCTTTGAATTTTATATTTTATAAAGGGACTGAATTTCGTATATTCCAGAAATAATGGTTAAACAACAGAAAATCTATTAATGTAACTTACCACATGAATAGACTGAAGGAATGGGAAGGAGTCAGGAATAAACTCACAGGGAAGGACAGGACTTCAAATAAAATGTTCTTCTCTTGAGTAATGGCCATGTGTGTATCGCTTAGCTTTCACTGTGTAACAAACCACTGCAAAACTTCAATGATATAAAATAAGCATTTGTTTTTCATACATTTTAGGGTAAGCTAAGGGGCTGCTATTTTAGGTTGGATTCAGTTGGGCAGCTCAGCTTTAAACTGCAGGACTCTGGGTCAGTTGGGTGACCACAGCTCAGATGTCTCTCATTATTCTCTGACCAGCTGGCTAGCTGTCCAAGTTCATCTCATGGCAATGCAGAATAGTAACAGGCTGCACGCAATAGGACAAACACACTTCAAGCCCTTGCTTGCATAATTTCTGCCATCATCCCATTTGGCCAAAGCAACTTGCATGGCTGAGTTTAAAGTACACTCTGCCTTTTATGGCATGGATACAGGGAGGAGTACAGAATTGGGGCCAATGACAATATATCACAAGGCCACAGGGCATGTCAGTGTTTTATTATTTATAACTTACAAATATGATATATATGCACACACATTGTAAATTGTATATACACACATTATATACATATTACATGCATAAAGTATTTCATAATAAAAAATTAAATTCACACATTTTAAGTACATTTTTGGGATCCTGCTTATTTTGGATAGTCTCACAATCCTTATTTTTTTATTTTTTTCCCAACTCTCACAATCCTATATTCAAAGAGGAAATGAAGTTGGTTTGGCAGGAGTTATTCTTCACGATCATCTTTTCATCTTTCCTTTTTTCCATTCTTTCAACTTCTTCCAAAAAGGATTTTAAAGAGGTTTACAAAACACCAAGACAAAATAAATTCATAGTACATTTTTAAAAATGGAAAATAAAGTTACCAAAGCAAGACAGAACAGGAACGACATAGCACTTGCCTGGATGTTCTCCATTTGCCTCCTCTGATCCTCTTTCCGCCCTTCCCTCGCTGTTCTATGCTCCCTTGTTTCCTGGCCTCTCCTGCAGCTACAGGTCTCACTGGGTTCTGATAACCACACTGTCCTCTTGCTGCTTCAGGCTCAGAGGCTGGTAACACTTCCTGTGAAGCATCCCTTGCTGGCTCCCTTCATCCTGCTATACCTTTGTAACTAAATCCTCCTTACTTAACCTTTTTGAAGATGCCATGTTTCCTAGGGACCCACAAACTGCATGCCTTAATTCTATGCGTATATTAGCTATGGGCCATAAATACAGCTCTAAGGTCTCAGTGTCATTATCAAGTGGGAAACACAATCAGTAAACGAATCCCCAGTCTCTCAAGAGAAGCAGACATACTCCTGACACCAAAATGGGCAAGAAATTTTCACTGTGGTTTCTCAACAAGAGGACATTATGGTGTAATAGCCCCATTCTTTTCTATCTTACAAACCATCTCTAATCCACTCAGGGCTCAGTCCTCAAATATCTTCTCTTCTTATGCACATTCACTCTCTAGTACATCTTATCTAGTTGCACAGCTTTAAATATCACACACATCCTGATGACTTCCAATATGTGTCTCCAGTCCTGACTTTTCCTGGAATTCATTTTCACTATCCATCTGCCTATATTTGGATATCCAATAGGTACTTTTCTCAAACTCTTTGCCTGTCCAAAACAAAACTTTCCATGTTTATTCCATGATCCTCTCCTCCCAGTGTGCCCACATTCAGTAGAGGGCTTCAGCATCATTCACCAAGTTACTCAGGGTGGGTGTGTGTATGGGGGGGTTAAGAAGGAGTGTCAATGGAAGAAATCTGTCAACTTTGTTGCATTTTTTCTCACATCCCACATCCAATCCATCTGTACATCCTGTTGGCTCACATCTTCAAAATATATTCACAATCTGACCAATTCTCATGACCTCCATCACTATCCTTCTAGCCTAAACTACCAGTCTCTCATTCTACTGTATTTGTTCCTGTTTTTCCTTCTTCTACTCTTGCATCCCTCCAGGGTCCCACCTCCAGCAGCCAGTTTGATCCTTAAAAAATATGTCATATCATGGTATATGCTCAAAATCCTCTGGTTGCTTCCTGTCACACTTTTAGAATACAATACAAAGTCTTTTACATGGCCTACAAGGCCTTACACGATCTGGCCCTCAGCATCTTTATTGTCTACCATTCTCTCTCTCCCTCTGCTCCAATCACACTGGCCTCCCTGGTGTTCTGTGAGCAGGGCAAGCATACTATTTGTGCAGGTCTCAGGACCTTTGCACTTATTTCCTCTGGCTGAAACACTCTTTTCCCAATGACTACATAGCTCACGCATTTCACTTAGGTCTGTGCTCACATGGCAACCCCTCAGAGGTCTTCCCTGGTCATTAGCTCTAAATAGCCACACCACTCCACTCCCATCCCTTCCTTTGGTTTACTTTTCTTGATAGCATTAATCAGTACCTGACATTATATTACATTACATTAAATGTGTAGTTATGTCTTTATTGACTGTCTTTCTATTTAGAATGTAAGCTTCTAAGAAAACACGTTCATCCCAGCATCCCCAGTGCCTAGTACAATACTTGAGACATAGCAGGCCCTAAACATTTGTTACATGAATAAAACACTCCATTCTAGTTTACCTGGTTTCTTGACTCAGCCTCAGCAATACCCAACAAATACTTGAGTCTTAATTATGTCAGTGGCACTCAAATGCTTAGAGTTTTAAAAAATCTATAAAACAGTCCCTGACCTAAATTGTGTCCTTTAGGGTGGGCACTGATTGGGAGAGGGAACAAGGCAGCTCCCCAGGGTACTAGAAATGTTCTTGTTCTTTATCTGGGTGGTAGTTATACAGGTGCGCACATGAAAACAAGGTTATTGAGCTGCACATTTAAGATGTATTTTAAGTTGCACCCCAGTAAAAGTTTTTGGTTTTTTCAAGTTTCTGACTTATGCAGACACAAAACCAGATAAATTCCAGCGTGGCAAGAGCAATGACAGAGGGCTGCACAGTCTGCCCTGTGAGCAACGAGAAAGTCATCCTCCAAGAACCAAGACTGGCATGCCCCGGTAAGAGGAAAGGGGCAGGCTATAGACTGTCTTCCTCCTGACCCCAGAAATTCCTAGCGGCCACGGGCCTTTCACGTGCCCTGGGCCCACCTTCTCCACGCGGAGCTCGTCACTGGTGCCCACCTGAGCGTGCACCGGCTACGGGAGGCTGGACCTGTGGGGATTAGCACCCTGAAGCGAGAGGAGCAGGGAGAGTGGCCCTCACAGAACAATGGGACAGCCCTTCCGCTTTAGACTCTTAACTTTTTGGCTCGAGGAGGCGGACACGGCGCCCGCGTGCGTCCGGAGAAAGGTCTATTTCGCGTTCACAATGGCCACCGGACGTCACAAACCAGGCAGCGGCCGGGCCACGACGGCGCGCACGCGCAACAGAGAGCCGCCGCCACGCAGGCGCACCGCGGCCCGGCAGCGGGCACGCGGGGGAAGGGCCCTGCGGGAGGGCGCGCGCGCTTCCGGGTGAGCGGGCGCGGGGGGCGCGCGCGCGCGCGCCATGGAACAGCGGTTAGCCGAGTTTCGGGCGGCCCGAAAACGGGCCGGCTTGGCGGCCCAACCGAGTACTTCGAGCCAGAGCGCACAGACCCCGGGAGAGAAGACGGAAGCAGCTTCGACTCTAAGGGCAGCCCCAAGCTGGCTAAAGCGGCTCCTGGCTTGGAAACCGAGGCCTACTAGTGCCCAGGCCCAAGCCAGCCTCGCTCAGGTGAGAGGAGGGAGGGCTCACCTGCGGGACCTGGCCACGCTGGCGGCTCCCTGGAAATTCAGGCTGAGGCGCCGCCCACCACGTGGTGGCCTGCAGGCTCCGCCCCTTCAGGGAAGGAACGGGCCCGCCCACCACGTGACGGCGCGCCGGCCACGCCCCCTCCGCGCGTTCCCGGCGTGGTCTTAGCTGTCTGGGCCGGGCTGCCGGCCTTGGCCTCCTGCAGGGACGCGGGCCCTCGCGTTTCCCTCCGCGCGTGTCAGCACTGCTACGTGGCTTTGGCGTTTTCTTTGCAGCCCGCGACCCACGCAGTTTCTCATTCCAGGCGGGAAGCGGGGGTCTAGGGTCCCGGAAGAAAGCACCCCTGCCCCTGAATTTATTCACAGCGTGTGGAGTCACCATTGTGACACCCTGTGGCTTTGGGAAACCGCTCCACAACCAAGTTGAGCCATAGCCCTCGGCTAATGGAGGGTAAGAGGTCTAATTGGATACTGACCAGAAGTGGCAGTAGTTAAGGGTTCATTTGATTAGCACCTCGGGCACGTGCAGCCGGTAGCCCACATAGCCTGTGCTTTGGAAATGGATTTTAATACAAAATTTGCAAAAGTGTGGCAGCTGTAACTGCCCGTGCTGGCAGGAGCTTATTCAATTTCAGTAGTAAATGTTCAAGGCAAAAAAATAAATGGATTAGTGTGATAGCCTTTTCACCCTTTAATTATTTTGCCAAGCTCTTAGTTTGCAGGTGAGTTTAATTCACATCTTTGTGTCTTTTAGTTTTCACTTATGAGTAAAATGGCAAGGTGACTTGCATGTGAGATTAAAATGTCTGTGTGACAATACAGGACAAAACGTATCAAGGGATAATCGGTGCCTTGCCACAATCTGTGACAAGGCCTTTTGTTCCTCATATATGTAACAAGAGCCAAAAAGTTCCTTTTAAAAATTAAAATGTACTGTAGAAGTGTTAGCTTAAAATTGGTTCCCTTGAGTTCATCTATTACTGCACAACATTTGATTTGAGGGGCTTTTTTTTTTTAATTGAGGAGAACTTATTGTTACTTTATTTTAATTCCATATTGCCCATAATATGCAGGGTTCCAACTGACTTGCAGAAAGAGGTAAAGAGAGCGCAGCAAGGTTCAAACAACCTATTTCCTCACGTGCGGTTTGTCTCAATTGTCTTTGGATAATTTTATCGTTGCCTAGAACTTTCTGAGCACAATTGCTTAAGGTTTTAGAATCCATTTCCCTTACCCTTTTTCCCCCTGCAGTTAAAAAACAATACCTAACTCACACAATGAGCATTTGAATGTATGTGTCATTTCCAAAGGAATATGAGATCATTGAGTTGGACCCAGAGAAACTGAACTCAGAAAAAGCTTTCATTACTGAAAACCCAAAAGCTGACGGCCTGACAAAAAGATGAGAGGAAATACTGGACCTGCGGTTGCTTCTTATCAATTGCTCTGTTTTTCATTAGCGACTCGGCCTTCAGCTCATTTTCATTGACTGTTATCATTCCTGGGTTTGCTTTGGTGTGAAAATTCTCTTTAAAAATTTTTTTCTAATTTACAATCCATCTCTACTTAATAATTTTTTTTCTACTTAATAATTGTGATGGTACACTGTGGCCTGTCAGAGATTTCTGTAGCCTTCTATTTATAATTGCTTCTTTTCAGTAGTCATAGATAAGGAAGTATCCACATCCTCAGGCCCCCGACCCCAAATTTTGTAGTTCCCCAGAACAAAATACTTAATTCTGTGACAAGCTTCTCACTAGGGCAAAAATGCCTGTAACCTCTTTTAGTCCTACAGAAGCCACCTGCCTCCCTCTCCAGCCATATCCACGCAAGCCCCCAGTGCACATCGTGTGCAGCTCCTTACCACCATGCCTTGGCTCAAGGTGGCTACTGCTCAAGTGCTCTCATGCTTTGGAGTCACAGCCTTGCATCACCCCCCAAAATCTAGGAGTCATCTTTAATTTCTCCCTTCCCTTCACCATCATTCATTCATTCATTCAATCAACAAAATCTGGTCACGTGCCCACTACGTTCCAGCTTCTGTCCTAATCCCAGGAGACAGTGTGATTAAGACAGAACAAGTCCTGCTCTTCCAGAACTTGCATTTGAGCCTGGGATCGCAGGGGAAGGAGGACAGTAAACAGAACAATGAGATGATAAATGCTATGAAAAGGAAAAATGAAACCAGAAGACTGTGATAGTGAATAGGGGTGAGGGGAGCAGAGTGCGATTTTAAGTTGGATGCCCAGGGAGAGTCTCGCTAAGGAGGTGACATTTAACAAGAAGGAGCCACCCTTGCAGAAACCTAGGGAGAAGGCCACATGTCACATGTGGTGACATTTTTGCTGAGGTTTGCAGAAGGGAATGGCAGTGAGGTGTTGTAAGGGAAAGGGAGCGTTCCCTCCCAGAGGGAACCTCAAGTGCAAAGGCCCTGAGGGCAGCAGCTCGGTATTTGAGGAGGAGAAATGCCCTCCCTGAACTGCGCCTACTGTGATGTCACGACCAGACACTCTCATGCAGCTTTCACAGCAGAAGGTGAACTGTGCTAGGACAGATTCCCAATGAGGCAGAGGAATCTCCCTATCTCTCCTCTCCCTTATGTGTTCCCTTTGCCATCTTGCTTACACCCCGCCCCCACCGCCGCCTCCCTCCAGGGCTCTGATGCTTCCCCTGCCATGGCCCATAAAGGCCCCTAATTAATAAGGGCTTTGGAGGGAGACTGTCTTAGGATCCTGGACTGACCTCATCTCTGCCTATCCCTAGCTGTATGACTACAGAAAGTACTTAACTTCCCAGTGTTCGCATGTCGTAACTGGGAATGATAATGCCTGCCCCTGAATTACAGGAGATCGTACATTTTAAAGACATTTATTAAATGGTGACATATGAGCATTATTCTTTTCATACTCCCTGACTAATAAATTCAACTTATTGCGAATTTCAATAAGTCATATACATTCAAATACATTCATATACATTCAAAATGCATTCTGTGTCTGTCAGTCCATCATTTCTTTCTGACTTCTGTCACTACCCTACTCAATGCTGGACCCTCTCTAGTTGGGCCTGCTGCACTAGCTACTAACCAACTTCCTGTTTCCACCTTGCTTCCTTGCGGTGCGTTCTTTACGTGGCAGCCAGGGTAGTCTCGAATGCAAGTTGGATTGTGTTGGTTCCCTGCTAAGACCTTTAGCAGTTTCCCGTTTCTGGAATCCCTACTGTGGCCCACCTGGCTCCTGCCCTACCCTCCCACCCCCTCATCTCACCGTTCTCTTCTTGCCCACGCCACCGTGGTCACACCGTCCTGTTGTTCCTGTGTTCCTAGACAGGCCAGACATTTCCTACCCCAGTGCAGTCTTCTTCTTGGGCAAGGAGTGTTGTGCACACCGGTCAGATCTGAAAGGGCTGTTTCTTTATCTGATGAGCGTCGGGAGTGGAGGGTGTGGTGATGGTGTGAGGGCCTCTCCGGCCAGACGTTCCCATCCAGCTGAAAAGATAGTAATTACAGTGTTGATGCTCAAAAAGAAGGTTCTAACAAAATAGAATTTCTGAGGCACCATAAAACAGATGACCAATATTTTTTATTGCAACCAATATTTATGGTCCCCTTTTAAATTTTTATGCGAAGAAGGACATGGGATGTAACTGAAGAAATGAACTGAAAGTTCTGCTATGCGTTGAGTCTGTGTGTGGGATGCTGCATTTAGCTCTGGAGACACAACAGGTGTGATAGCACTCACGGCCTCGTGGTACTTACAGTCAAGCAACACATGTGACCTGTACCAAAAGAGAGACGGTTCAGTGCTGGCTGGCTTGGTGCTCGGTGAGCGAGAGAGCCAGTCAGTGCTCTGGGAGGCAGAGGGTCAGGGCAGACTCGGTTCTCGAATATTGCTCACCTGGAAGGCAGGCAAGGAGGTGAGGAATGGGGGGAGGTGGAGGCAGTTCTAGGCCTCAGCTGAGGACTGGATTGGCTAATAAGATCAGTTGAGCTGAGGAGGAAGAATCATTTGTGGAGCAGTAGATTGTGGATTGTGTTGTACAGGGCATTTCTTAGACCATTGTGACCCATTAGTGGATGGCGAAGTCGATATAGAGCATCCTGTACTCCATTAAGCTTTTTAAAAAAATAAAATAGGAAACATGAGAGCTTTTCAGGGAGGGTGAGTGTTGACCCGTGAAACTTTCCGTTGCACGTGTGCATGCTGGGTCGCAGTATGAAATATATTTCTTGTGGTTCATGCTCAAAAAGGTTTGGAAAATAGCGGACTGGAAACAAAGCTTCTTAGAGCTACCCAAATATCTGTGTCTGCCATCAGCTTCCAGCACAGGGGCCTGTGTGCTGGCGTCTCTGTCTGTTGAGTAAATGGAGGGCCTTGGGTTCCAGCCCAAGGAGTTTGGATTTTCACCTGCAGGCAATGGAAGTTTGTTGAGGGTTTGTGGGCAGGAGGGTGATGGGTGATTTAGGAAATTAACTTAGCAGTTGTAGGTAGGACGGCTTGGAAGGGAAAAGATAGAAGGCAGGGAGTCTATTTAGGAGACACTGGAGGGTCTGAGTGATGGATGAGGACCTGTGTAGGAAGGTCACTGGATGGGAAGGTAAGAGGGCCCAGTAATTGCTGTAACAGTGGTTTTTTAATATGTGAAGTGGATTTTTGTTTCCTGTTTCTGGTATGGTCTCCATTTTAGAATCATGTCATTCATAATATTTTAGCTCCTCTAATCAAATCAACAAACGTATGTTGACTGTGACTGTTTGTGAAGCATCTGTCGTGGCTGTTGCATTATCAGTTATTGAGAGGTTTCTGTGTGGGGCACAGATTAGCTCTTGTTAGCAGCAGACTAACGTGAAGAAATGACTCCCACGAATAGGAATCTGTCCGAATGCTGTGAGGCTTTTATTGGGTCACATCTCACTGAGTGCTGATCAGTTTTGAGGCAGGGCACATAAGCTCTTTGGAGATTATTGTTTTAGAGAGCAGGACCGCAAAATAGAAATCAATGAGCCAGCAGCCTTCTTAGAGCAATGAGAACTGCCTTTTCAGATTAGTTTTGATCTTTCGGCTCCATTACCCTTTATGCTTACTTTTGTTTGCTTGTGTATCCTAGGAAGCGGCTCAGCCTGGGAGCAGCACATCACAGCCACCGCGGAACAGAGCCGTTCCTCTGCCATCGTGCTGGGACCAGTCCTTCCTGACCAATGTCACCTTCTTGAAGGTTCTTCTCTGGTTGGTCCTACTGGGACTGTTTGTGGAACTGGAATTTGGCCTGGCTTATTTTGTCCTGTCCTTGTTCTACTGGATGTATGTTGGGACGCGAGGCCCCGAAGAGAAGCAGGAGGGAGAGAAGAGCGCCTACTCTGTGTTCAACCCGGGCTGTGAAGCCATCCAGGGCACCCTGACTGCAGAGCAGCTGGAGCGAGAGTTACACTTGAGACCCCTGGAGGAGAGATAGGACCTAGCCCCACTGTCCCGCAGCTAACCTCGGACGTGGTCCTCCTAGATTCGATTTCAGGTGCATAGGACGAAGGACAGCTTATAGGTTAGCTCTGTGACTGCACAGTTCTTCTACATTCTTTTCCTGATCCGCTGCTGCAATTTTATCTCTGAACTTCTCTTTGGTTCCGGTGAAATTCTCTAAAAGACACTCGCTGTGGATCTGATGCAATTTATATAAATTACATACTCAGCAAAGGAGACCTGTTTGTCTTATTTTTCATCTGTTTGAGAGAGGTGATTTTGGAGCGCCAGAAAGGTGCTGGGGAGAGTGTCTGTTTAAAACATCCCGCTGTTTGAAGTAATGGTTAGGTACATCAGGGCTGTACAGTAGAAGTAAATGTGCTCTGTAAGTCTTTTAATATTTATAGCACTTTTTTTCCTGAAAATTTAAAGTCATGAGTTCTAGGGGGGTTTTGTTTTGCTTCCTGCTTTAATTCTTGCTTTTTCTGTCACTACTAGTATTGAAAAAAATAAAATATCTCTAAATTACATCTTCTTTTCAGAAGCAGGTCCCCATCCATTGCCCTCAGCATCTCCCACTCTCCTATTATTCTGCACCCACTCAGTCAAGGAAGATAAGAGGAGACAAAGGCCTAGTGACAGGTGTGGGGAGAGAGCTCACAAACAGTGTTGCAGATTGGATAAGTGGTTATTGATGGTGAATTTAACAGGAAGAGTTCTTGAGTATGCACAACAGGAGGGCTGGAAGTAGAACTCCAGACTTACTGGCTGCTTGGCTTGTTTCTTATTTTCTAAGGGCTTTGGAGTAAGCAGTCCCTTCACCTGTGGGCCTTAGATTATGTAAATCATGATAATCAGGCGTGAATTTAGTGTTCCTTCCTCTTCCAGGACAATGTTAGAGTTTGGGAGCATTAAAATTGGGCAAACTCCCATTGGATTTGGGATGATCTCATCCATTCTGTGGTTGACTAATGCCACCGAGTTTCGGCACTTGCTGAGAATTCTTCTGATAAGAATTGCTCTTCTTTCCAGTGCTTTGCTCAGTAGGAGCTGGGCTCCCCCTTCTAGCTCAGAGTCTTTTGTGACTTCTGTCTGAACTGCACGTGTAGAAAGTAGGGGAAACATAACTCTGTGGAAATTACAGGTTCCGAAAAAAGAAAGTAGGGGAAACAGTTGAATCCCTATTAAACATGAAAGTTTTGATTGTATTTAAGATATGATTTTGTTTTCTGATTTATTTTCTTAAAGATTCCGTGTAAAATATCAGAAAAGCGCAATACAAGGGAGTAATCTCCCTAATAAAAGTTTCGATGCAGTGCCCAGTCCAAGAAGCGCTGTTGTAGAAAATAATTTGTATTTTAAAAATGTATAATTCAAACTTTCCCCTAAAACAAAAGGCCTGTAACTCTGAATTGAGGAGATTCGATCTAATTAGCAATCCCAATAAGATAGAAACTTCTCTAAGCATATAAGAGACTCAACTTTTGAGTGTTTCTCAGTGATGGTCTTGAAAATGTAGCTGCTTGTGAGATGGAGCCCAGATTGCCGTAAGCATATACTTCATGGGATTCTCCATGAAAGATTTGTCACCTGTCCTTACCTCTTCCCAAAGGTGGCATGTAGCGACGGCATTACCTTCTAGGAAAAGTGGGGTGCGAATCAATTAAATCCCTGACGGGGGAGAAGAAAGGACAGTGTGTATTTGCTGCGCCCATCGGACTGTTAAGCGTGGTCTTGATTTCCTGAATTTAAGCCTATTGATCTCAGAATTTCCACTCAGCGCCTGACCATTAACCCAGCATGCAGCTTCCATTAAAAGCTTGTCTGTCACCAGGGAACTTGAAATCCCAAAGGTGGCTGGAGTCCCTCTGAGAGCTGTATGTACCAATGAGGTCATTTCTGTCCAAGTCTTACAAGTAAATTGGTTTTTGCTTTTATTCACATTATCCCATCTTGCCTATTCATAGGAACTATTAAATAGCCTTGTAGAGCTGCAAGGGACCCCAAAATGCCATTGCGTGCATGCCCCACGCCCACCTTGGGCAGGGGCACATTTATTCCTGACTAAAGATGATTTGTTTCTAGTGACCTCCTAAAGAACAAGATTCCAGGCACTTCTTAGCCAGTTCTTTATATTTACTGAACAAACTTTTGCTAGCCCCCGCTGCCACCTGGGGTTATTTCTTCTCGTAATCTCAGTGGGTGTGGAGCACCTGTAGCCCTGTGTTAGCTGGCGAGCCCTCACTCAGTTCTTTTCCGTTCTTCTCTGCTCTTCAGGTGCAGTCACCCAAGTGGTACCTCGGGCACAATCACTTTCAAGCTAGCCCCAAACCATTCTGAGTTTTCTAGCTCTGGGTCCGCGGTGAGTGTCCCTGTTGATAGGTGCAATGGCCTTTTTCAAAAGCTTTGGAGTTTGCCCAGAGATGATTTGGGCATGTGTATTTTGTGTGACTAGGATTATACTTTGGGTTTAGGAGGTCTTCCACATTTGCGTGTTGACTGATATGTGCGTGAATCAAAAGCCCTGCACTACAAAAAGAAGTTACACCATTGGAAGAGCCTGTGACCCTCAGTTGGGAAAAAGAAGGTAAAATTCTAACTACCGTGTTTCCCTGAAAATAAAACAGGGTATTATGTTTTTTTTTTTCCTCAAGAAGACACCCTAGGGCTTATTTTCGGGGGATGTGTTATTTGTTTTAAGTGTTGTACAACAATCTACATTTATTCAAATATAGTTAAGTTGTCATCTTCTGGAACATCATCATAACTCTCCAAATCTCGAATTCCATCCCGAATTTCTTGCGACTCTATTTCCTTTAGAACCATTGGCGAGCAATAGAGCTCTCATCTAAATGATCAGGGCTGGCTTATTTATCAGAGATCCAGTGAGCACTAGGTCCAGTCTGCACAGTGGAGCAGAAATGATCTCTCTGGGCTCAGTAGGAGACTGCTTGCTGAAGCTTCTCCCCTTGCCCCTGGTGTTTGTCGGGGTGAGAGACGCCCACAGTGCTGAGTAAAATGGCAGCCACAGCTTTCCTTCTTCCTCCTGGGGACACACAATAGCTAAAGTGGAGTGTCCCACTCTCACTTCACTGAGGAAACTTTCCCCTCAAAGCCTCAGCTTGCAGCACGCACAGGGTGGCTGGGACGGACAGGGAGCCAACCTTGGTGGGGCTGCCCGCACCTTTCTGGTCACCTCTGGGATAGGAGCTGTCACGATGGGGCAGATGAGAAGGCTGCTCGTCTTTTTTACCGCTCTGCGACGAAATGCATGGGTTGTGCAGATACGCAGTGTAGCACCCACATTGCTAGGTCTTATTTCGGGGTGGGCTTCTATTGCGCAAATGCTTAGAAATCCTGCTAGGGCTTATTTTATGGGTAGGTCTTATTTTCGGGAAAACACAGTACATGTTTTGAGTTCCCGCCACATACACCAGCATATGTTTATGGGTACGTGGGGCTTGGTGCTGCAGGGGACACACAAATGAGCTCCTGCATAGCCTGAGTATCCCTAAGCCATCTGGATGCAGGGGTGGGGTTGGGAATGCCATGGCGCATATTGCCACCAGGGGGTGGCATAGAGCTGCCACTGTACCTCCTGGGTCCCTTCGTATCACACTTGATAATTTATGTAATGGAAACTCTGGGATGTTTATCTGAATCACTTGTGCTGCTTTTTCAGGCATTCTTTTCACTTTAAAATTCACAGAGGAAAGGGCTCAGCAGAGGTCCTGGGAAAGGCATAGAAAGCTACCACAACTGATTTATTTTACTTTATTTTTAAATTTTTTTTTGTTCTGACAACCCCAAATAAGTGACTGAGATCAGAATTGATTTATATGTACATTTTAAAATAAAACAGCGGCCCCTCCCTAGACCTAGCAAGCAGTATTGCAGTTGCTTGTCCACATCTGAGCTTTGGGGGAGGGGGAGGAGGCATGCCTAGGAACTTACAGAGCTGGCAGAGAAAAATTGATCCCTAAGCCAAAGAAAGGAAAATTTGAACCATATGCTTTGGTTTCTATTGCACATACTTTTATTTCACAACTTTGGAATACTGGGCTAAAGACTTGGACCTCATTCTCAAAAAGCCGAGAGAGGAGACAAGGTGAGTGCACAAAGAACCACATTATAAAGTCTATGACATAATGTGGATGTTTATAAAGGGGTAAGTAGTGTACGTGTGTATTGGGGGAGGAGTCATCTGAGGGAGAGATCAGGTTCAATCCTAAATTCTATTCTACATACGATTTTCACTTCTATTAATACTATGTGAAAAATACTGTTTCCTTAGTTAAGTCATGGATGAACGTTTTGAAAAGTGTGGTCTATGAGCCTCTACCTGCCAAAGAATCTCCTGTAGTAATGTTAAAATGCATATTCCAGGGCCCTTCCAACTCTGAATGCCTAAGGGTCGAATCCTGAGAATCTATATTTTAACAGCCTCCCTGGCGTGATCTCCAGCACCCAAAAGATGAAGAGCCCCCCGACATAAATCATAAATGTTAAAATAGGAAGAAAACTTGGCAATTATTAGATCCAAGCAAACAAAATGGGTGTGTATTTTAAGATGGGGCGACAAGGTTTGCCATTTTTCAAAATGTTCATTTGTAATACCAAAGCGAGAGAAAAAGAAATAGCTTTGAAATGATGAGGAACTAACTCCAATGACTATATGGCAATTAAAGGTCATTTGTTTTTGAAGTTTTCTTTTAATTAAAAGCAATTATAAGAAGCACATGCTCATTTTAGAACATTTTTAGAAATATAGGAAGCAATAAAGTATTTTATTGTCTTTACACGCACATATTTCAGAAACCAAGAGGTACCTAGGGTGTATGTACAAACATGACAAACCTTGTCATGTTCTTTCTATCTCAAGTCTGTAAATGACACCATCCTAAACACACTATTCTGCCCTTCTCTTTTTTTCTGTTTGTTGGAGTTTTGAGTTTTATTTATATACAGTTGAAATTTTTATGTAAGGGAATGACATGACTCAATTTTCATTTTTGAAAGATCACCCATGCTATCATGGGGAGTGGATTCTGTCATTCATTCATCCCATACATCTATCCATTTACGGAGCACCTAATCTCTGCCACGCCTGGTGCTGGGCTTGGTGCATACAGAGAAAACAGACGAAGTACTAGAATGTGAAAAGACTGACAGATCAATAGAACAGACCAGAAAGTCCAAAATAGGTAAAAAAATATATATATACAAGGAATGTAGTAAA